GCTGCAGGGTGGGGAGAGGGGACTTATTAAGGAAAGGGATGTGCTGGTAACCATGGTGATCTCACAGTGATCCTATAGACACACGGCTGAAGAATTGAGCTTCTTTCCAAAGGAGGCTAAAACGCAGGCTGGACAATGACTCGGGGCTGAGTGGAGACCCAAGCTCTCTTCTGCCAGCTCTCATTGAAGTCTAGCCTTGCCCTTGGCCCAACAGGCCTGCCCCCTCAAGGCCCCGAGCACACTCGGGCTGCTCAGAGGACCTCTTTCCTTTATTCACGACCCCAGATCCTCAAACCACTGTGTTAGCTGCAGCTAGGGGCAGAGAAGAATCTGACAAGAGGATCTGCCAGGGCAGGCAGCTTGGGGGAGTGTCACTTCCTCTAGGATCAAGCCCAGACCACCCACAGCCAGTGGCACTGGAACATGGCACCCTGCTGGACTGTTCTACCCTGGCCCTACTAAGGTATGATCCGGGGGGAACTGACTTCATCACTAGCCTTCACAACAAGTGGGATTCTGATAATAAGTAATTATTGTGAGGCCAAGAGCTCTTGAGGTGAATGGTGTCCGTACATGCACAAAGATCTTCATTTGCATCAAGCTGTGTAGCTGCTTCATCGAAAGCCACAGCCTTTCCCCTCAACCTGCTTTTGTGTGGCAGACTCATCCATTTCAGTGGTGCAGAGCCACGTCCCTGTGCGGCAACTGTCTTCTCCAGGGTCTGGTTCAGGACAGAGAGCCAACGATATGCTGAATACTGTGGAGTCCTTAAATAGAAGGGGTGCCTCAGAACTGGTTGAAAAAGAAAAATGCCCAGACGTGGTAGCCTTGGGATGAGGCAGGGTGCAGGAACAGTATAAAGCAGATGCTGTGACATCATCCTTATGAGGATATTGCTCAACACAGCCAAACACACATGCACGCACGTGCACGCAGGCTCACACAGCTGGTTTCCTGTAAGGATCCACAGAGAGCTGCTAATGCTGATTGCCTTTCAGCCCACAGTCCAGGCTGGCAATTTTTTTTGCTCTTTTGATTCTCGTCTGTGGCGTTGACATTCCTGGCAAATGCTGACCTGGTGCTGTTCTGCTGTGGTCCTGGCTTCCAGTGTTTTGTGCAGGTTGTGGATTGGGGGTTGGGGAACTCTGCTCCCCACTCCCTCTCAGCCTCAGCAGGCTCTCTGCTCTTCTCCCTACGATACAGGCAAGGCACAGAGACATTGAATAACCTGCTTGAAGACACCTGCCAAATAAGAAGGGGAACTGGGATCTGAATGCAGGCAGTGGAGGCCCCCTTTTAGCTAGCATGCAACACTGCCTCTCTTTATATATTTAATAATCCACTGCCATTTACTTACAGGCCATTTTTATTTTTACTTCTTTATGTGCATTTTTTTTAAAAAATAAAAGCAAAACCAACAAATGGCTTGTCATTAATGACTCCATTGTCTGTAGATTCTTATTGTCTACTGGCAGCTTTCATCGCTCCTTTATCCTGGCCTGATGGGCTGTCCAGGTGAGGGAAGAACGTGACTTTGGAAGTCTGGAGACCAATCTCACTCAGGCCTGCACTGATGGCCATATGACCTTCCTCTCCCCGGCTTGAGCCTCCGTCTGCGGAGGTAGGACGATGCCAGAGCTGACAGGCTCCGTGGGTCCTCCTGCATAAGGAGTCTCTGGCTCTCTCTGATCTATTTTTGCCTGATACCTCTCCCAGGGGCCTGTGGGCTGAGCTAATTTCTCTGGCTGGCCCCGATCCAGGCAGCTCAGGTGGAGAGTTCTAAGCTAATGAGGCCAAGGTCATGGGCCAGTTAGCATCCCTTGGAGAAAATTGTGGCTTTGCAGCCGGACTGCAGCTCTTACTACCCATCTCTGGGCTGAGGCAGCCCTGGAGGGAGAAAGGAGAGCAAAGCCAGCCTCTACAAGTCACCACCGCGTCCAGTAGGAACCACTGGAAGGCCCAAGTCCCAGGCACCCCTGCGACTTCAGGGTGGTACCTCCTGAAGTCACATCCATACACTAGAGGAACTAAAGTGTGGGAGGTGGGGATGGGGAGAGGACCAGATGGCCCATCAGATTCATCCCCTGACAGCCAAGAAGAGGAGGGCCAGTTCTGCTTCTGAAAAACTAAAGCAAAGGGCATGTCCATGTGCCTCCAAGGTCACCATTGCTCCGCTTGCCTGCTGCTGGCAGCAGACTTCATCTGTGCACACGGCAACCCCCACAGCCTGGAACTGGAGCTGGGAAATAGGCAGCTTTCCTCCTTCCTATTGACCCTGCCATGAGGGCAGAGGTTGGAGGGGGTGTCTTTTCTTCTCTGCTACCTTCCTGGCACCTAGACCAGCACCTGGCATCTATATAGTAGGCATTCAATAACTATTGTTCCAGTCCATCCCTTCTCCATTGTCCCTGAGAGACGCTGTGGCTGCACTGGAATGGATGCAGAATCACCAATGCGTTCGGCTGCATTGTTTTCAAATATTTGTATTTCAATGAGTCTGGGGAGCTCATTATTTGGAAAGACATCATGTGACGGCTCCAGAAAAAAAAAAAAAAGAATAATTTCTTTTAGAATGTGCCACCACTCCCTGATTTGAACATTTTGCAAGTTTGAATGTTCTCATCCCAGACTTCACAATTCAGTCCAGTGTATACATAATATTAATTATAATTAATAATTGTGAATTATGTTCTGGCTGTAAGGCAGGCTGTGGACTAACTAAACACAGACCATGCGCTGACTTGTTAATTATCAGGATAACCATAGAAGATGGGTGCCACCCTGATCCCAGATGGAAATGATGTCATTTGCTTGCTCCCACCTGGAGGCTGAGTTTAGGGTTTCCTTATTCCAGAGTCCACTCTCCATGCACTCTTCAGCACTTACTGGCCAGTGAAAAATGGCGGAGCCCTTCCCCAGGGTCATGATCAGGCACCCGCTGAGCTGTCTGCAGCTCTGATCACGTGTACGATAGCTTGGATGAGTCTGCAGATAATTGTGCTGAACATAAAGAGCCAGTTCTCAAGGTTATTCGTATGGTTTTATACATATCGCTCAAGTAACCATCTTGGAAGGTAAGATGATAGAAGAGAAGATGGCCGGGGCTAAAGAAGGCGGGGTGGGAAGGGAGTGGGCGTGGTTATGTAGCTCTAGGTGGGAAGACGGCTCCGGAGTGAAGGTGCTGGCTGCTGAACTTGTCACCTCAGCTCCATCCCTGGAACCCACATGGTAGAAGGAAAGAAATGACTCGCCCAAGTTGTCCTCTGGCCTCTGTGCTCTGCCACTGACAATCGTCCCTCTCCTCCTCTTCCCCCTCCCCCACCCCCCATGAGTGTAGTAGCACAGGCACAGAATCACAGTTCTGGGAGGGCAGAGACAGGAGGATCCATGGAAACTCCCTGGGCAGCCCGCATAGCTAAACGGAGATCTGTCTGTCTGAGTATATAAAGTGCACGGCTCCCGTGTGTGTAACATCTGAGGTTATTCTCTGGCCTCCACATCCATCCACCCACCCACCTCCCCCACACAGCAAGAATGTGTTATGTGCTTTTTTTGCCTTCCCTGGGCTCAGGCCTGGAGATGGCATTCTGCATCCTACTATGTGTCACAAGCTGTGGTGACAGAGAAAAGCCCTGCCTGGTGGGGTAAGGGCGGGCAGCACTGGGGTGTGGCGTGGTGGGGTATGCACCGTTGCGGGCTGCTGGGCTCAAGGGCGGGAAGGACACCTGGGTAGGCAGGAAGGTGGCAAGCCATCCCTGTGTCTTCTTTCCAGCCATGCGTGAAGACCCGGGGCCATTCATTCTGCTATGCAAAACGCATAATGCAACCTGTTTCCCAGCTTGTTCAGAGCAATTTTAAGTGACAGACAAAATGATCCCTTTGAATTTTTCTCAAACCTCTGCCGCTCGCTGCAGCTTACCTGGCAAAGCACCTAATCAGAGGAGAAAATGAATGAGCCATTTGATTCAGTCCTGATGCTGACGTTCATGTTTCTCCCATTAAGGAATCATTTCTTTAAAAACTATTTACTTTTTTTTTTTCTTGGTATGCCTCGTCCAGCTTTGCGCATATTCACAGTAAAAAGAATGATAAAAAGAAGGCGTTGAAACCAGAAGCTTCTATGTTGGAATTTTAATTTCAGTACATACCAGTTACAGTCCTGACCTCCAGGCGTCCTTTGGCCTTAACCTCTGAACTCTGCAATGAGATTACTAATACTGAACAGGATAATAACCTCAAATCCATAGGACTGTGGAAGGGATTAATGAGAAGCCATCTGCCAAAAAGCCCAATATCATTCCTGACACGTAGTGTCAAGTGATACTCATTACTGCTAATAATTCTAGTTAGTGTAAGGATACGCACACTTTCATGACACTCTACCAGTCGCCCCACGATCTACAGGAGTTTGCTTGGACCAGTCAGGAGAGTCAAGGTTACACTGCAGTAACAAACAGCCCCAACAGAGCCCTTGTTCATGCTGCATGTCCATTATGACTTACCTCCTTTCCTGGACCCAGGGCTGGGGAGCAGCTAAGTGTCTGGGACATCCGAGATTGTCAGGATACAGGGAAAGTTCTTCTATCAGCATTAAATGCTTGGCTCAGAAATGACAGGTATTTCTGTTCAAAGCTCATTGAGCAGAGTTGGTTATACATATTTGTGTAAATATAAGTGTGTGTGTTTGGGCATGTGCACACGTGGAGGCCAGAGGTTAATATTGGATGTCTTCCCTTATCATTCTCCACCTTATTTTTTTTTTTTTTTTGAGACAAAGTCTCCCATTAAACAGGGAGCTTTTGGCTAGATTGTTTGACCAGTGTGCCCCAGGGATCTGCCTTGTCTCCACCTCCCCAGGGCTGGGATTTCTTTTCTTTCTTTCTTTTCTTTTCTTTTCCTTTTTTTTTTTTTGGTTTTTCGAGACAGGGTTTCTCTGTGTAGCTTTGGAGCCTGTCCCGGAACTCACTCTGTAGACCAGGCTGGCCTCGAACTCACAGAGATCCATCTGCCTCTGCCTCCCGAGTACTGGGATTAAAGGCATGTGCCACCACCACCCGTCAGTGCACAGCTTTTTATATGGGTGCTAAGGATTCAAACTTAGGTCCTCATGACTTTGCTGCAAGTACTTTTCATACTGAGCCATCTCTGAAGCCCCTAATTGTATAGTCTTACCTGACCGAAAGAGATCGGGAAGAATAATCCTTTCACATTCAGAAAGGAGGAAGGCTGGAAGAATGTGGCCACCCTAACAACTACCACAATGGTTTTGAAAACCACAGCCCAGGCCAGAGGTATGGAGGCTCAGCCAGACAGTGGACAAAAGGTAGGAATTAGAGAGCAGGGAGAGGATGAGGAGGGTCCAGCACAAAGATTCAACCTACTGGACCGCAGGGCAGGGCTGAAGCCATGGGAACACTGGGTACCTTTCTCAGATGGGCCTGAACCCAAACAACCCAGGGACTATTTTTGCTGCAGGCACAGCAGCTGGTCCTGATGGAAGTGGAGCACTGGATGGTCCGCACTGATGGGGAAGCTTTGCGGAACCAGTGTTTTCCTGGCCCTGCAGTTTAGACAACAGCCACAGAACAGCCCTGCCCACTTGCTTGGATTCCAGAGCCTAGTCACTGCTTTCAACGGTTTAGGGAGCCCCAAGGTAGTGTTTCTGGTGTGTTTTCAATTTGGAGTCTCCCCCTTCTTCCTGGCCACGGCCCCTCGCAGATCCCCAGGCTTTGTACATCTCCTGTTACTGCTGATGTCAGGAGCAGCCGCTCTGTGGACGCTGGCTTCCAGGTCCCGGGTGGGGGTGGGGGGCCTCGGAGGCACAGTTCCAACCGTGGATGACTGTGCGGACAGCGCCACCTCCTGTCCTTGCTGAAGCTGCTGGCGTTGCACAGGCTTCCATTGTCCCAGATCTCACACAGCTCTGGCCAAGAACTTTGGGGAGAGCTCTCTACAGGGATTTGCCGTGGCTGACCCTGTGGTGAGTTGGCTTTATCTTCAGATCCTAGCTGGTCTGTGTTCACATTCTGCATCCAAGTTCTCCCTCCGACATCTCCCCAACCATAGGTCTTTCTGGATGCAGCCTGCTGCCCACAGCATCTTTGGACAACTTTCCTTCCAGTCTCCATCCCTTTGTCAATCTTCAAGACAAGGCTCCAGTACCACTCCTGAGGGAGCTGTCTTTGGCTCTTTGGATGAAGTCTAGTCCCCTGCTTGAGCTCTACTCCCTGAAAAAGCATTTACAAGGATTAAATGATGTCTTCAAATTGGCTGCTCACACTGTGACCCTCCAGAGAGAGATGCGAACTCGGCCCGCATGCTGACCTTAGTGAGAAGTCTCTGTAGGTGTCCCTGGTCTTAATCTGCTGCTGTAGGTGGCCAGGAGAGGAATCCTCTCCTTTATTCTCTCTTTGCCAAGGACAGCTTCCAGCTTCCTTGTATCCAGGAAAATATATTGATCCTCTAGTCACAGGAGGCCTTGCCCCCAGCACCCTTCAGGAGCTCAATGAACAGTCTCTAGATTAGAATTCAGGCTGTTACCTCAGAGGGGTCCTCATTTGCCAGATTAGGACAATGACCACTTCCTTTAAGGGCAGTTGGAAGGGAAGCCATGCTCCCACCTTCGCTCGGGGATCACTGACCATCTGAGAACTTTTAGCCAGCTACATGTTCTAGTATCCAAGAGACAGGGAAAGAGAAACCGAAACTACACAGAAGGAAGCAGCTCCATCCTCAGCATCAGACCCACCCTGGGCTGGCCAGGTCCAACCTCATCCCATTCTCTAGAATCTTGTCCTGTGGCGACCTGCTGGGGGCTCTAGTGTGACGCAGGCTAAAGTTTCCTTTGGTCCTGGCACTACCTCCCTGTGCGTGACCTTAGTTTATCCTCCACTCTAGGTTCCCCTCTTACACACTCCAAGCCCTCCCTCAGCCTGCTCTGAGTCAGGACACAGAGTGTGTAGCAAGTGCTCCAGAATACAGCCCGATGGTTGTTTCATTTAGTCTTATTTTGCTTTTATCCCAAAACCTCTAATACAAGGTTTTCTTTCTTTTCTTTTCTTTTTGGTTTTTCGAGACAGGGTTTCTCTGTGTAGCTTTGCGCCTTTCCTGGAACTCACTTGGTAGCCCAGGCTGGCCTCACACTCACAGAGATCCGCCTGCCTCTGCCTCCCGAGTGCTGAGATTAAAGACGTGCGCCACCACCGCCCGGCGAAGGTTTTCATGGTGGACTGTGGGTGTAATTCAGGTTCCCCAGCACAGTTGAGTTTGGAAACATATCCAGGGCAAGTTTTCATAGAGACATCTTTGTAAATCCAGGGCTCCCTCCTTCTCTGAAGTCTTGCTTTTCAAGGAGTCAGTTACCTGAGATCTGAAAACATGAAATGAAAAATCCAGAAATAAAATTTTATTTTTTAAATATTTATTTTTATGTCATGCGAATGGGTGTTTTGCCTGCACATATGTATGTGCAACATGTACATGCCTGGTGCCCATGGAGGCCAGAAGAAGGCATTAGATACCCTGGAACAGAAGTCACAGGCGGTTGTGAGCTGCCATGCAGGTGCTGGGAACTGAACCCAGGTTTCTACACAAGCAAACAGCGATGTTAAGCATGGAGCAAGCCATCTCTCCAGGCCCCACTGAAGAGCTTCAGGTCATAAGGAAGGCGGGTAGCACAGGGCGGAGGACATAAAGACATTGTCCACACGACTCAGGTGGTGGGTCAATCAAGAAGGCTTCCTGCTGGATCTGATTTTAATTCTGATGAAAATAGCTTCTATTCAAAGCAACGACTCCCCAGGACACCTTCAGGGGAGAATCAGGGATTGGGGTTTGAGGCAGAAGAGTTAGTTGATTGCGATGTCCGAGGAAATACAGGTGGAGGTCCAAATGGACAGAGATTGCCATCAAGATCAGTGCCATGTGTGCCTGGCATGGTGGTGCTTGTGTTTAATCCCAGCACTTGAGAAGCAGAGGCAGGCGGATCTCTGTGAGTTCGAGGCTGGTTTATGTCAATAGCACACATTTGCTCAGGATTTCTCACTCAGGGCTCCTCCCCTCCCTGCTCTAAGTGTAATGGGCACTTGGAGAACTGGAGTCTCAGAAGAGGAACTGGAATGTGGAAAAAAATATTTAAAGAAATTATGGCTAGAGCCATCTCAATTTTGGTGAAAGAGATAAATGTATGTAAGTAAGAGGTTTGGTGAATCCCAGAGTCAAATAGAAGCTCCTCTAAGCCCATCATAGTAAACCTGCTGGAAACCAAAACAAAACACAAAACCTTAAAATCATCCTGAGAACACACTGCATAATGTTGCATATGTGTTACATACATGTTACATACGTGCCAACCACACAAACGACAGGGACACTTGGTAAGAAGCTGTGTGTGGCAAGAGTGTGACTGTATGCTACCTCCGAGTGCATTTATTTGTTTGTTTATTATTTTTATTTGTATTTATTTATTTATTTATTTTTGAGACAGGGTCTCTCTGTGTAGTCCTGGCTGTCCTGGAACTCATTATTTGGACCAGGCTGTCCTCAAACTCACCAAGATCCCACTGCCTCTGACTCCACAGTGCTGGGATTAAGGGCGTGTGCCATCACACCCAGCCCTTAGCATCCATTTTTAAATAGAAGTTTGATTTCTCTTGCCAGAAGCAGAGTGCCATTACCTTTGACACAGTTTCCAATTCTATATTTCACAGGAAATCTGCTTGGATTATTCTGTGCATCTGAGAATCTCTCTGCCCCCCCCGCATCCACCAGGCATGCTGGGTGCCCCATTCCTCCCCGCCCCCCCCCCCCCCCCCCCCCCCCCCCCCCCCCCCCCGCCTCCGGGGCCTGCAAGCACCAAAAAACACTTAAACCTTCACATTACAGCTGTGCCACTGAAGCCAGGCTGCACGGTAAACCCTGACAGCAAGGCCACATCAAAGGAACCCATTCAGGGGGATCCCTGCAGGTACTCATCTGTCTGGGTATCTAGTGGCTGCTGGGGACAGGAGCCACCTGCTGAGTTGATAGAAAATACTCAAGAGAGTCATTCAAAACACTAGGGAAGCTAGAAGACAGTGGCCCAGCATCATTAAGTGTCTGGGGAAAGCCTTTCAGCCTCAAATCCTATATTTAGAAGCAAAATTATCTCTCAGAATGAAAACAGGGCCTGGTGATGTAGCTCAGTGGGTAGAGGGGTAGAGTCTAGCACATTCGATCCTCAGTAATACACGAACTGGGCAAGGCAGTACAGGCCTCAATCCTAGCACTTGGGAGATAGAGGCAGGAAAATCAGGATTTAAAGGCCACCCTTGGCTATGTAGTTAGCTCAAGGTTAGCCTGGGGGAAGCTACAAGCGACCCTGCCTTAAATGAACAGACAAAAGCATGATGACAATGGCATTTCTAGCTAAAGGAATGATAGAAGACGTCACCATGGTCTGGAGAGATGGCTCATCGGTTAAGAGCATTTGCTGCTCTTGCAGAGGACCTGGGTTTAGTTCTCATCGGCACATGAACATCTGTAACTACAGTCCTAGGGTTGCTGATGCCCTCTTCTGACCTCCTGTGGCACCAGGTGTGCTCTTGGTGCACATAGATACATTCAGACAAAACAGTCATATGTGTGGAAGGATGGAAGGGGGGAGGAAGGAAGGATGGAAGGGAGGAAGGGAGGGGAGGAGGGAGGGAGGGACACAGAGAACAAAGATGGCCTCACCTCCAGAAATGTGGGACTATTTGCGGAAGCAAATCCCTCAGGCCGAAGTCAAATGACACCAGCAGGAGAATCCCCAGATACAAACACACATCAGAAATTATAAATACGGCATGTGCCTATAATCCCACCCAGAGGGGTGAGCCAGGACTGTGGATTCAAGGCCAGTCTGGGCTACATAGCGAAACCTGTTTCCAAAAGGAAAAAAAAAAAGAAATTATTAGTAACAGAAGAAGTTACTATCCAGGGCACCCTCTTCTGGTCTCCTCTGGCACCAAGCAGTCACGTGATACATATACATAGATGAAGGCAAAACATTCATACACATAAAATTAAAAAGAAAGAATTCTAAAATACACGTCACATTGAGGCAAAAGGTATGATACTGTCTTGTAACTATCTATCTATCTATCTATCTATCTATCTATCTATCTATCTATCATCTATCTATCTATCATCTATCTATTTTGAGACAGGGTTTCTTTGTGTAGTTTTGGTGTATTTCTTTATTTTTAAATGAATTAATAGTTAATTAATTAATTAAGTTATTTTTGGTTTTTCGAGACAGGGTTTCTCTGTGTAGCTGTCCTGGAACTTGCTCTGTAGTCCAGGCTGGCTTTGAACTCACAGAGATCTGCCCTCCTCTGCCTTCTGAGAGCTGGGATTAAAGGTGTGGGACACCACCACCTGACTATTATTTTTTTTTTTTTAAATACATTTTGCTTGGGGCTTAAGAAGTTCAGAGCACTTGTTGCTGTTGCAGAGGACCAAGTTTCAGTTTCCGGCACTCACATGGCAGCTCACAACCATCTGTGACTCCAGTTCCAGGGCACCCTCTTCTGGTCTCCTCTGGCACCAAGCAGTCACGTGATACATATACATAGATGAAGGCAAAACATTCATACACATAAAATTAAAAAGAAAGAATTCTAAAATACACGTCACATTGAGGCAAAAGGTATGATACTGTCTTGTAAGGTCTGTGCTGTGGGCATACCTGCGATAGTAACACAAAGGGTAGAGGGTGATGCACTTAGCTTCGCAGCTGCCAGGCCGCTATGCTTTACAGGACGGTAAGCAGAAGGTACCAAGCGGGACACGGGTCAGAGGAAGCCTGTGGGATGATGGGAGCCCAGAGGAGGAGCATCAGAGTCACACTGAGGGTCCAGGCAGATCCCGGAAGAACTCCCTGCATGCTGTGTGTGTTATGAAGAGCAAGCAGAGGTGTGTAAGGTGGAGAGTAGAGAGCATCCAGTGAACAGCAGAGGAGGAGTGTCCTGGAGTTGGCGGCCGTAGCCAGAGCTTCAGTGCCACTGGAGCCCAGGGGTGAGGCAGGGACAGAGAGAAGAGAAACATGGCAAGGCCTGTATGGAAGTCCGTGTCCCAGGGCATAGTCTTTGTGTCTATGCATGGGCACCCCATCTCAGCTTTACCTTCTCGGAACCTAGAAAGTACCCAACATTATCCATGAAGGTTTGATGAGCGGATGGGTAGATGAATGAATGAATGAGTGAATGAATGAATGAGTGAATGAGGTGGGATGTTTTTCAGCTCCACGTCTCCACCTCATTCTGGAGTCTCCCTGCCAATTCCCACAGGCTCAGCGCTCCTCATTCCTTTGGGGGGGGGGGCAACACTTTCTTCAAGTCCTTTGTGTCCCTTGCTAGACTTCGGCTTTGTGACCTTGGAGTCAGACATGCTGGTGGGTGAGTGAGAAGCAGGTCCCAAGGGGACTTTTTAAATATTCATGGGAGAGAAGCGATCCCAGCTGGACCTTTTCAATATTCATAGGCGCCGAGGCTCTGGCAGGCTGGACGGATATGAACAGAATTCGGAAAGGCCTTGCCCCGTGCACAGGTTGAATTAAAAGTGAAGCTGTAGTGAGCTGACTGGGTGGGGGTGGCAGGGGGGCGCAGGAATTGAAACTAGGGAGACCCACGAAACCTTCCTGTGCTCCTCCCCAGAGCTCTGTCCTCCACGGTCCTTCACGTTCGGGCTTTGGGGAATGTGTGCAGCTTCCGTGACAGCTGGCTGGTTCCCCCCTGCAACCCCTGCCCTCCCCTCAGCACTGTGGGGTCCTGCTCCTCTTCAAACCCGGGCAGGGCTGGCGTGGTGGTTTTCTGGGTCACGGTGGTGCCTCTGTGTCTGTTTTGGGGTGTGGCATGAGTTTTCCCCAGGTAAGCCTCTGGAGTCTGTCTCGCACAGACTGCCATACTGAGAGACACAAGCAAATGGAGGAGAAGCGTGGCTCTCCAGTAGTTCCCGTGGTGGAAAAAGCACAGCAACCCCCACCCGCTTCCCAGAATGACTGATTCACAGGAGAAATCTCCTCCTATCAGACAACATCTAATTTGGGTTTGGACTCCATCCATGGTTCCCTTGTCTGAGCTTTTTGAATGTGTCTTTTCTGGACCTCTTTTTTTTTTTTTTCTTTCTTGGTGTGTGTGTGTGTGTGTGTGTGTGTGTGTGTGTGTGTGTGTGTGTGTGTGTGTGTGTAGGCCAGAGGTCACCTTGGGGATTGTCTCTCAGGGCTGTCCACATTGACTTTTTTTTTAGACACAGCGTTTCTCATTAGCCTGAAGATGACCAGTAACTAAGCTAGGCTGACTGGCCAGCAAGCTCCAGCACTCACCTGTCCCTGACTCCCCAGTTCTGCAATTACAGACATATGCTGCCACACCTAACATTTAAAAATCTGTCTGTTGAGGATCGAACTCAGTCAGGCCCTCACACTTGTGCAGCAAGCTCCTTTTTCACTACTCTTGACCCACTTTCCTTTTGAGTCCCATCCCTGCATGCCCCTGCTCCCGAAGTAGGCTGTTCCTACTGACCCGAGCCTCCCCGTGAACTGACTTCTGAAAGCTCCATCTTGGTCTGCCCAGATCTTACGCTCTGCTGCCGTTTCTATGTAGCTTCTCTCCATCACCTCTAGAAAGTACCCTTTGCTCGTTCCCTGCACCTCAGCTCCTTTCTGGGGCATGGAAGCGCCCCTTTGTCTCTTGGATCCTGCACACTTTTCTGGTCTGTGCTGAGGAGCAGCTGGAGGCAGCAGCTGGATTTTTTTTTTTTTTTTTTTTTTTTTTTTTTTTTTTTTTTTTTTTTTGGTTTTTCGAGACAGGGTTTCTCTGTGTAGCTTTGCGCCTTTCCTGGAACTCACTTGGTAGCCCAGGCTGGCCTCGAACTCACAGAGATCCACCTGGCTCTGCCTCCCGAGTGCTGGGATTAAAGGCTTGCGCCACCACCGCCCGGCCAGCAGCTGGATTTTGCCCGGTACGTCTGGCTCTTACACTTCAGCCTTTCTCCTTAGGAGATCCACCCATTTCCCCTGCTCAGTCAATGTGCCACCCTCAGTGTCCCCGGATTAGAGGGACCCAGCATTCCAACAGGACTCTGAGCAGCTGGATTCCTAGATACAGGTCTTTTAAACTCTCCTTAGCTGAGGGACTTAATAATCCACCTGAAAGACTTTACTTTTTCAAGGACGATGGGACAGCACAGAGCTCGGAAGATTGGGACTCTGACCCCCCCCACCCCCATTTGCTGTTCAATCTAGTTCCTGAACGTTTCCACCCAGGGGCTAAGGCTGACACAGCAAATCTCTGGAGAGCCCTGGTGATGTCTGTGCTGGGGGAAAGTTGGCTTCATCCATCTGAGAGGTTGGCCTCACTCTAGTTCCTTCTCTGATGGAGGATGATGCTCAGAGAAGAGAAAGGACAGAATCTGGGGAAGGGAAGGTGGGAAGGGGTGGGGAGGGGGACGGAACTATTACCCAGTGTCCTAGTTTGCTTTCCATGACCAAAGCTACTTGGAGAGGAAAGGGCTTATTTGGATTGCACATTTCAATCACGTTCATATCTGTATATGTGTACACACACACACACACACACACACACACACACACACACACGTTTTAATAACTAGGATCTGCTGCCTATGAGAGACAACATGTGGTGTTTGTCTTTCTGAGTCTGAATTACCTCACTTATTATAATAATTTCCAGATCCATCCATTTTCCTGGAAATTTAAAAATAGAACCATCATATGACCCAGATATTCCACTCCTGGGCATGTACCCAAAGGACTCCGTACCCTGCTACAGAGATACTTGCGTATTCGTGTTTATAGCTGCTCTAGTCACAAAAGCAGGGAAGTGGGATCAACCTGGATGCCCATCAACAGATGAATGGATAATGAAACGTGGTTCACACACACACAAGGGATTTTATGCAATAACAGAGATCTCACGGTCTCCAGTGTGGGTCTGGAAAGGATTAAGAAAAATTAGGGAAAGGAATGAAAGACAGTGAAAGACAGTTGTCACACTCACTAACCTCGGGAAGCCTGAATTACAATAGCCCTCCCCCAACCCCCCAGCACAGCCTCCAAGAACTGAACGGAATAGAAGAGTCTCTGTCCATCAGCATCAAACCTTTGCTTTGACTCGGTCCTCACAGCTGCAGCCCCCATGTGAATGCTGGGGTCCCCACAGTGTCCAGTGGTCCTTAAGTCCTAGTCTGGGGGTGTGCATCTTCTCAGCACATGATTTACTCCAATGCAGCGTGGGGGGCTCTGAGTGCAGCTGTGCTCCCCAAATTCTGCCCTGCACCCTCCTCTGTCCTGGGCTTCCTGTGGCAGTCAGGAGGCACAGGGGGAGGAATGAGGACAGACTGACTACTGTGAGGAAACCAGCTGGGACTGCTGGTGGAGATCTGGAACCCCACTATTGAGGAGGCTGAGGCAGGAGGATTACGAACTCAAGACCTGTCTGGGCTACAGCTACAGAATGAGTTCAAGACCGACCGGGCAAGCCCCTGTCTTAACATTGGGGGTGGGGAGGTGGGTGGAAGGGAGGGAAGAAAGGGAGGAAAGGAGGAGGATATTTAAGTGAGTTTCTGTCCCCCAGCCCAGGGCAAAAACCCGTCGGTGTTCGGCCCCACCAGTGGAAACTGGCCTCGGAGCTTGGTGAGGCTCTCCTCTCCCCGTGTCTCCTGGGATCAGTACGGCTGGCTCTATGAAGCCATATGGTAACCAATTTATTCAGCCAGCTCCTCCTCCACCCGCCTTGTGCCAGATGCTGATGGAAAACTGAACCCGGAGGCTTGGGGGTGGAGGCAGGGAGGAGTTGGTAAGAAGGGAGTAGGGAGCAGCAAGGAAAGAAAGAACAGAGCCGTTAGCAGTCCTTGCTACAGAGGAGGAAGGCTTTGATTTATGTGTGAGAGAGAAGGAAGCTGCAGCCTCAGAGGCTCGGTCGCCTTGACCCGCTAGTGAACACAGCCACCCAGCTGGCCCAGCTGCCAGCAGCTCCTGTCCTGTGAGAGGATGTGACAAAAGGCAGTGCCGGAATGTTGGCTCTCTCTACTGGTGAATAGGGATGATGTGGAAGGGCTCAGGTTAGCGGTCTGCCTGCTCAACCCATCCCGCCTGCATACGGTCCTTTGCTTGCTATGCCCCCTAGCCATGGATCACGGTTCTAAGATCCCTCGGGGTAATCGAATCTCTCCCTCGGAAATGTGGAAACCTACAAGGAAATCCTCAGAGGCAGAAGGCTGTGGAGCGAAGGCCTGGAGGGAGGCTCGGCTCTGCCGCAGAGATTTCTGGTCCCTCTGGGGTCCTGCTTGCTCCAAAGCCTCCTTTCAAAAGTGTGTGGGAGCCCTCGTGTGGACATTTCGTTAATACTGTGAGCTCTCTCTCTCTCTAGCTCATTTCTTGCCCGAGCTGAACAGTGCGTGTTCCATGGCTGGTGGCGCTGTTTTAGGAGGCTGCAGAACCTTTCGGAGGTAGGGCCTAGCTGACAGATGGGAGGACCTTTGAAGGTTATGCCTGCCTCTTCCTTCAGGCCTGCAGTTTCCCTGGGCTAATTTTCCATTCCTCTCGCTTCTCTAATTTCCCAGTGTCTCCATTTTACGTCCACAGCTTCCCTCCTGCTCCAGTAGGGGCTGGTTGAAGGGAATTTACTCTGCTACACATTCTTTGGCCCTCCAGGCCTTCCTTTGAAACATGGATGTTAACATGACCCTGTAACTTTTGTGTTCTCTGTTCAAAAGCAGCATCACACCAATGATACGTAGCTGAAGCTCATGGAATCACTCTTGCCTCTGATAGTCTGGGCAATTTCACACAGCAAATCTCTTGGGCAGCCCTACAGAAGCAATGTGTGTGTGTGTGTGTGTGTGTGTGTGTGTGTGTGTGTGTGTGTGTGTGTGTGTGTGTGTGTGTTGGGGGGGGGTTGGTTCAGAGCAGAAGGTGTGCTCGTGCGTCCACACAGGTGGACAGTCATCCTCCATCCTTAAAATGGAGCCAAAAGCTGCTTGTAAAATGGAGTCTCTCAGAGCAAGGTTGAAAATCAGTTTATTTTGTTTTTGTTTTTTGAGACAGGGTTTCTGTGTGTAGCCCTGGTTGTCCTGGGACTCGCTCTATAGACCAGGCTGGCCTTGAACTCAGAGGTCTACCTGCCTCTGCCTCCTGAATGCTGGAATTAAAGGTCTGTGCCATCATCACCTGGAAAAAAAAAAAAAAAAAAAACCAAACCACTTTTTTATACAATATGGAGTAACGTAGTCATTGCATA